AAATGAATACCAACGTAAAATCAGCGTTCATCAATTAAATCTACACTCTGTCAAGGCAACCGGCTGAAGTAGTGTGCTGTTTCCCATGTGCGTTCTAACTAAGAAGTCCTATCCCTTTTTCCTGAAATCCCTCAGTGAAGTGCATGGTGAAAAAATCAAGGAAATCCGATACTTTCTGGCGCTATTGTGGTAGAGGATTAGGTTCGATCTACTGTACGGGAGCGGGACATGATTCTGCGTGCCTTCTTTATGTTATCTCTTCAGCTTTGAAAACAGCTAAGACAGTGGAAGAGTCTCGTTATTCGGCACTATTCAAGTATAATCTTGTCTCGAATATAACACTCGTTTTGGCGCTGGCGCCAAATTGGCGCCAGTTTGGCGCCGCCACCTTTCTCACCAAATTCGGTGTAAATTTGCATAGTAGGGTTATTTGATGTCCTGATCACGAATACCGAATTAGTTTTCAGCCCTGACGCCATTTGGCGCCACACCCTTTTTTATCAAAATCGATTAAAATGCCCTGGTCACGAATATGACACTTATTTTTCGACGCCAGCGCCATTTAGCGCTTTTCTAAGGCTGAGCCTGGGAGAAAGAGTGATTTCCTTCAGGTCAGGCTCAGCAGAGCGCAGATAATCGCAGCGTCTTCCATCAGCGCCAGCGCCAAAAATGAATGTGATATTTGTAATCAAGATGTCAAATAACCTCCGTATACAAGTTTTCAGCGGATTTAGTGACCTAGGTATTTTGGCGCGGGCGCCAGGTGCTTTCGGGCTGAGCGGATGTGATATTCGTGTTTAGGAGGTCAAACTACCCCTGGGACAAGTTTTCAGCGAATTCGGTGATTTAGGGTTTTTGGCGCCGGCGCCTGTGGCGCGGGCGCCAGGCACTTTCAGGCCAAGTGGATGTGATATTCGTGTTCAGGAGGTCGAATTACCCCTGGAACCCAACTTTCAGCCAAATCTGCCCCCGTAAAAAGTGGGGTAGTAATAGCTGGGTGAAACATGTTGGGGGAAAGGAATAATTATTATGGTTGAAGGTACAAGTCAAGCAGACTTACGCGCGCCTCCAGGTCTACCTAAACCTACGCTTGTAGTGCTTCCTTTTGTGAAATATGCATATTTCGGGTTTTTTTTTTGTTAATACGATACAAGATTTGTAGGGAGCCTTGTCTTAGTTTTTTTTTGTACAGTTTTCTTCTGTTTTGTATTGCGTCTGTGGTAAACTACTTCTATGATAAACAACAAGGTCACTTCTTTCAGAACAAGTGGAGGAGCACTAGTTATGGCAGTGTACGAGGAGATTCAGAAGCATTTGTGATTACAACGACAACCCATATTAATCAGGTCGTGAGTAAATCACTGTGCCATTATAGCCCTTCCCGTCTATTTTGTGCCATCTCACTCCATTTGCTCAAATGGCTCTTCTTTTTAAGCGAAATGTAGTTGATCGATAGATCGATCTAGTCGGACTTTCTGATGTTTTACTCATTGATGATTCGAA